TTATCTGCTTGTTCCAACAAGCTCTCATCTCCTCAAGCTCCAGCATTACCTCATTCCCTCAGCTCAGCCCAGTGTTGGTCTCCTCAGCATCCTCTGTGATGAGGAGGCACTAATTCATCTCTAACAGAGCATTTTTCATTCTCCAGAAGCAGCAAAACCTGCAGCCTCCCAACCTTTTAGTCCTGCTGACCCCAGAAACCTCCTCACTTTTAACATTCCAGAGTAGTTTTCAAAAGCAGATATTTGAGACACCGATGTTTTAGGCACTGCTTTTCTAAATAAATGAGATATTTAGTGCTCTGGGTGTTTTCCCTCAGTGTTACATCTGTGAGTCCAATGAGCTCTGTTTGACCATTCCTAGTTCCCCACAGTGTTTCCACGGGGGAATTTTCCCCAGCACATCCCTGTAACAATGCACTTCAAAGCCCATCTCTGAGCTGCTTATCATTTACAAGCACAGCAAAGCTAAAAAGTCTTCCTGCTTTTCTCTTTCCTTCTGCTTTTCCCCTTTCTTTCTGCTGACCTAAATCAGCTCCTGATCCAGTTGGTTTGGAACAGGCTCATGCACTGGTCAGAATCGCTCCAGTGAGTCTGGTTCAGCCATAATGTTGTTTAATGTTATTAAAGGTGTTATTAATGACTTGGAGTGAAACTCAGGCCTAACTGCAACATTTCCCAATCCATCTCCAGCCCATCTCAGCTCCCAGGGAAGCCAAGAGGACTCCAGTGAGCAGCAAATGGGGGCTCACAGATTTGCATTCCCAAACACGCTGTGAAATTATCAATATTTTCTAGGCAAAGGGGGAATCAAACAACTCAAGAAAGCAGCACATGAAGCCACTGAAACGGAGACATCTTAAGAAATAAGGGTAATGAATTCTTGAGAAACAAGGCTAATGAATTAACAAAATAATCCAGAGTAGCTCCACATTAAAATTAAAGAGAGACTCTGAATCAGACACAAATCTAGATGAAAATGAAGGTTAAGGGGTGTAACCAGTGAAACACAGAAAGAACACAATCTGCAATTCCCAGCTTCTGCATTACAGAAGCTTTCAAACACTTAAATGAAAACTATTAAATCTTCAAAGAGCCCAATGAGCCGTAGCATAACCGTCCTGAAATCCAGACATTTTCTGCAGCAGCAATTTCATATCAACCTCTCACTTTATATCGTAAAACTGTATTAATATTTAAGTGCCTCTTAAGAAAATCCGGGCTTTAAAACCTTCAGGATCACAGACTCGTTTTCGAGACAGGCCAATTTTACGCAGCTATAAAAGTTAGGAACACTTACACAGAACATTTGTAAATCCCACATTCATGTTCCAAAGCCAAAATCACTTTTTCCCCCCCACTTTCTTTTTTTTGGATGACACTGACACATATAAACAAAAAAAAATTAATTTGCCTTTTTTATAACAAGAATTACACCTCTCTCTGTTTGCATCACACAATTAATTGGTGGGAAGAGACAGCAATCTCTCTGACTCTCCATCAGCACTGCAGCTCCTGGGTATTTGTGATATGAACACACTTGAAAGAAGGTTCTTGTCCCTCCCCATTTAACTGCTCTGCCCATGGAATTCACCTGTCATTCATGGCATTCCTTCTGTTGTTCACTCAACCTGCTGGCCAGGCAGGAATAGCAGTCTTGGTGCTCGACACATTAAGACCATTACTCTGGTCAGCCCAAGAAAGGGAGAGTTGCACCACAACCCCAGCAGCTCTTTAGAGTTTCTCTGCTCCCATCAACGTCCCCTGCTGCAAATTCAGCCTGGAGGAGCCCCCCCTCCTGAACAAATGGATGTTCTCAGCCCAAACTCTGCACATGGCAGAGTTCCCCCAGCCCCTCACCAGCTCCAGCCCATTCATCTCCCTGACACTGGTCCCTTTTCCTCCTTGCCAACCCCTGACGGGACTCCCGGACGAGCTGCCCAGAATCCCCACACAGCTCAGCGTCTGCTGGCCCAGCACACCCACAACTCCCAGTGCCCAGCAGCTCCAGCACATCTCGCCCTCCTGGAGCACCCACACATTTCCGA